GTAAAATTGTTTCATTTTTTTCTTATTATTATTTTTTCTTTTTTTTTTTTTTATTGTGTAATCAACACTTTTAATGTAAAACTTGGCTAAAAGCATTTTTGTCGAATTTCACATGTGCGTGTATCCGATTTTGTTTATTATTTTTGCGTTAAACAAACAGCTTGTATGTGTACGACAGATTTTTTGTGTCCACCGGAGGAGGTATTATAAGTTTAGTAAATGATTTCGACTTGTAGGTATTACATAAAAGTTCTTAGGAAGCGTGTATACGGAGTTGCATTACGTGAACAGCGCTTGGAAGGCATCAGCAGATCAGGAGTGTTATTGTGATTTTAATGATCTACGATTTGATTTTGAATTAATTATCGGCTATGATGTGAAGTGATTATACATAACGATTTTCTTCTTCTTATTCGCTCAAAATATGACGAAGAATTCAGGGAATGTTTCTTCTTACATGCAACATGGTGATGGTCAGAGAGAATTGGGGAAAGAGATAGGAAGGGTGTGGATGCAATCTAGTGACGATATACCTGATCGGTGGTTGTTATGCCTTCATCCACTGAGCACTCACTGCGGCTACGATAACATCTACTTCAGCCCATTGAGATTTGACTTGGTAGTCGTAACTTTTATCTACCCGTTTGTGCGGCAGCCCAAGTTAAACTGATTTAAAATAATTCGTGCAAAAGAGCTAACCTATTGGTGATTTCATCTCTGGATCGATTTGTTATGCCCAAGCATTTTGAATAGTGTTGCTTAAGGATTTTTATGAAAATGTAAAGACCATTGGTTGGCCGAGTTAACCATACACTCTTCAAAGAAAATGAAATCGAGAATTTGCTCTTTGTCTGTTAAGAGTAAAACTTTTATTTATTGTGTGGTAATACCTTTTGCCTGTGTGTTTAAGTGTGTATGAGGCCTATTTACAAAAGGCTTCATATTGGCTTGTGGCTTACACTGAATCATATATTGAATGCACAAAAAAAAAGGTACGTTCACTTATGTAACCTTCACTTTCTTAAAAAGGCGCACAACTTATAATTTCGATCTTTTCCTGACAGGAATTGATGATAACTAATGTTCGACTTAAATCGTGTGTAATTTTTTCCTTTAGCTTGTCTCGCGTTCTGCAAAGTATGCTATTAAAACACAATTCGTGGCAAATTCATTCATTGCGCAGAGTTAAGGTGTTCTTGTTTCCGTGTGGTCCGTACTCTCACAATGCTTACCTTCTTTTTTTTGTTTTATTAAAAATAGTGCGATTTTCATAAAAACTTTCATTAGTGCTATTATACGGAAGCTGTGTAACGTCGTCAATAGTAATGAACACAATGGTGCAAAATTAAATTGAGAAAAATAAATGAAAAAGGAGATGTATGTATGTTTTAGCCTTTCGATATAGAATAAACATTTTAAGGAGAAATCTTTAATAAAAAAATAGATAAAAATAGAAAAGTCGATAAAAATTGTCATTGAGATTAAGTCATTATTTCGTGGAAATTGAATCAAATGAAATTCAATGCAATTGCTTTTCAAACTTTAAAATGGCTTTCAGCGCCTCCGCATTAAAGGTTTACGCATTGCCAAAGACCGCCAGCTCTCAGTCGATAATAAACGCATCACTATATGCTTTCGCTGCAAACATTTACTATATATCGTTACGGCATTATATTCACAAGAACTCCCCTGCCTTTTTTTTTAAGATTCTTAGCGAAAAAAGCCTAAGAGACAGCTTTAAATATCACCTATCGATTATTTTTGTCCCACAATCTTCCGCGAACAGTGCACAATTATCTGTGATGTCTGCTCTGAGGTTCACATCAGTAACACACTGCCAACAAAGTAACAATTTGCAAAGAACTGTTATGCTTAGTGCAAGCTTGGAGCATTACTTCAATAACTAATAGCAACGTTAGTTGGAATATTTTATTTAAAAAAAATGAAAGTGTTAAAAGAAAATATCCTCGAATTTTCGGTTGTATTTATGACGCTTTCATGGTCGGAGAGCGGATTAAACGCATTCATAATAAAAGAATAGTAGACAGCAAGCAGAAGAAAAGAAGATTCAGCTCAGATTTTTACTAACTTCACTACTTCAGTTCGCTTCACTTCAATTTATCAAATCAAATCAAATTTTCCTTTTTACAAAACTGAAGCAATTCTTAGCAGTCTTTAGCGCAATGCAACACTTGTCCTATAACTAAACACTCTTTCCTGCTTTGTAAACCAAAAAGGAGAAAATTACTAAACGATGGTTTACTTAAAAACTAAAGCTGACCGACTTTTAGAGGAAAATTCTCAATTCGGGAAATCTAAACCAGAAACACATCCACCGGTAAAAATACTTTTGTTGAGAAATCAAAAATTTTCATTGGCTTTTGATCAAACCATGGATATCAATATTGCTTTATTAAAATTACTGTAAATATCGATATTGGTGAAGTTGACCTTGAGTAGAAGAGATTGTCATATGTCGTATGCAAGCCATACAAGATGTTCCTAGAACGTAATCCATATAAAACACAATTCATGTGCAAGCACTTCCGATAAGTGACCCGAAGCATAACATAGTTAAGATAAGGTACTCGCATAATAAACCAAAAAAAAAAAAAACTCAAATATTGAACCCCAAACAAGGTTTGTGATATCTAATCTTTGGATGTCAATTTCAAAAGACCTGTTATCTAAGTACAGAAACTCACTCACTGTAGATAAAAATCGGAGAATGAATCAAAAAGCGATTACAACAAACATTAGTCTTGGATGTATCTATAATAAGTCGGTAAGCCATTATTCTTAACGATCGGACATACCATCCACTAGGCTTCAATTATTTCATATCTCTTTCTTCACTTCTTTCTGACAACCGCCTTGTTGAATACGCACTCTCTGAATGAAATTTAGATGATTCACAATAATATCCTATCAATTTGATTGAAGATATTTGAGAACATTCGATTGGCGGCTCACTGGTCGACACTAAACAGGCTGATTACTAAATAATCCTCTCAAGAAATGCAACTTTGGGCCTTACCGGCAACGCATTCTACACAATTATTTTTTTAATTCTTTCTTAATATTATTTCTTACGCATTCCAATTTCTTGGTTATGCACTAAAACACCGTCAAAGAGTGCTTGCCAGAATATGGAAGTAAAAAAGTTAATATGCATCTGTAGACGAATTGTGGCGAACCTGTATCTTAAACCAATACATTAGAATTGCTCGCCATTTCGTTAAATGCGCGCGTGTCATTGCCATTGGTGTTGGTTTTGTGTCTAGAAACGTTTTATGTTAGATTTCCGATGAAAATCTCTTTGCAAATTGATTTACATTTGCCTTCGTGCACATCTTTCAGATCACTTTCTGCTATCAATTGCAAATCGCATTTCATCTACCTTTACGAGCAGATCGCGCCTAATTTTATTGTTTTGCGGAAACCTCTCAGGTTCTTCCGCCACTCAACCACTATATGTCTTTTCTACTCTGGCTTACTAACCAACATTAAAAACGAAAGCATAAATCGGTAAAAGCCGATTATCCCAGAGATTTAGTTTTTAGTTTTAGTAGAATCCCAAAACTATTTTTTTCTGATGTTATATTGATATTAAGATTTATTAAAAATTATACGCGGCAACCCTGACTGACATTGCGTTGTTAAGCCTGTTGAAGAAGAAATTTAACGAAATCGCCTTACGCAGCTGGAAAGTAACGAAAAAACTAACCAAAATCGATTGATAAAATTCATAAAATCATTAGCAAGAGAAACAACAAAAATCCATTAGAAAATCCATAGGATTAGCAAAAATATCAAAACAAAATGTGACATGTGTGTTATCTGTTTTAAGACGAGAGAGTTGAGTCGAAGCGTTGAAGCAAAAAAAAAAACGAAAATTCTTTTACTCAGGCAGCTTGTAGTGCGAAATCTTGTGAAATCTTGTGATCTCTACTTTTTGTTGCTTTAATATGCTTACTTTAATTCCATAAATAATTTTCTGAAAATAAATTTCCTAATTTTATAAATAAAGTACCTCATTTTAGAAAATGCAACAGTACGAACTTACTCTAAGTGATTTTGCGGGCAAAGCATGAAATCATAAAAGAAATCAACAGGTGATATATATACTCAGACAAATTTCGTAGAAAACATAGACTGAATCAAAAAGGTGACGAAATCGTAAACAGTTATGATCGTAGCGTATACTAGTAATAGCGGTAGTAGTAAGATCGAAAAGCGAAAAAGCACTGGGCACTGTAACTACATTTTGATTACAGTGCCAGCTCATCTGCGTCACTTAAATAGAGTTTTTGACAAATCACTGTCGATTCACACTTTGAGTGGTAATTTTGTAATAATCGTCTTTAAGAAATTATTTATTATTGTCCTTTTTTTGTACCCTACATCACGTCACCACAGCCAGAAGGATTTAAGAAAGATCCCTTCTTTTATTGTACCGATTGATTCAATATCACATCTTGAGTCCATTTTATGTTCAAGCTACAGACCGTAGCTAGGCGTACCGCGGCCATGTTTTGGCCGAAGGATGAACAGCCTTCTGGCTGTTGAAAATCGCTCGGATCGAACCAATTTTTCGATCACTTTCCATACAGCGCCTCGTTATGAAAACCCCTCACACGAATAATTGCATTAAGCGAAATCGTGTAGGGTGTTTAATGGGGTCCACATTTTGTTGGTTTGATTTAATTAAAGAACTTTTTCGTCATCCTACATGAATTGTTTTGTGGCAATTATTTAAAATGTTCAATTCAAACTGAAAGAATGCAATCACAGAAGCAGGTGCTTTTTATAAAGCACCTTTAAGTTACAGGTACCAGAACGTTCATATTGTTTATTAAATATAAAGCGAAGGCGCAAAACATTCTTGCCGTCAAACCGTACGTAACGTCATCAACGAGTAACTGTTGTGAATGATCTAAATAAAGAAAAAAAAGAAATTTTTGCTGCCTATCAATAATAAAAAAAAAAATTGATTAAATATGGGCGAAAATCAGATAATAAGTGATATGAGAAGATGTTTAAATTGCATTGAGACTGTAAAAAATCAATATCTATTGCTCTCGTCAATGACTAAAAACAACGACATCGACGCATTACTCGATAATTGCGAAATGCCAGCTTTGTTATATACTTGGATACAACAACTAAAAGTGGATATAAAGGAAACAGAAATTGTCAATAATTTGTCTTCTTATCTGCGTAAAGTGGAAATGGAAAGAAATCAACTTCAAATGGAAAATCAACGCTTAGAACTAGAAAATGTTTATCTCAAAGAGGATTTGCATGACACTCAGCAGAAATTCAGGATTTCTGAAAAAGCTGTAGCCCAGTTAGAAGAAGAAAATAAACATTTGCAGTTTCTTTTGTCATTAACAATGCACGAGGACAACGATAAGGGCATCGTAACAATAATGGAAACTGATGATGACAAACTGAAGGATAGAAAAACACTGCACAATACAACGTTTCATAATGAAGACGATTTTCAGAGTCTATTCGAGAAAGAGGGAAAAAAGTTTTTTTTGTTTACATATACATCAGATTTCACGATAAGCGAAGACAGCAAAAAAATCAATTTTAATAATGAAAGTGATAATTTAAACAAAACTTTTATTACGGAAGGTAACTCCACCGACCTCATCAATTTATCGCCTTTGAAAGCAGAGAAGCAGAAAAATGAAATATCAGTCGAATTAATATCACAGCGCTTGAAAGCTCTTCACAGCGTTATATCACAACAGGGTTGCCAAAACAACGATGAAATGGCATGTAAAGGCAATGTAGAAGAAATCTACATTTACAAACGAACGCACATAGCTGCCATGTTAAATATCATAGCGTTAATACACAGGGATCTGTGCAATTACGAAGAAGCCGCTCAGCTATTAAATGAAGTTCTTGAATTACGACTGGACCACTACGGAGAGCATCATATAGGAATTGTGGTCATTTTAAATACTTTAGCCAAACTATACGATAAATGTGATATGGACGAAGCGGCAGAAGCCGCTAATAGAAAAGCTTTACGTATAAAAGAAGAAATACGACAGAGGAATGATTTGCAATCAATGACATCGCAAGCAGGACAAACTGACCAATTGTCTTATGAGATATTCACGGAACAGAATCAAGAACATTTGAATCCGATTAACAATACTCGTCTGCAGTTGCTGTCCACCGAAATCACCAAATCGTCTACAAGATCGTGAAAAATCCCGGTCGCAAAGTGATCGATTATGGGTAGAAAAGCTGCGATCACCTTAAAATAAGAGCAACACCTCCCCATCTCCCACAACTGAGCCTGTGTATAAATTGATGGAATAAGAACCAATGGTACATATATATATATATATATATATATTTTTTCTCTTCATAATAAATAAGTAATGCCTTAGTTAATGGGGCGTTCGAAGATGAGCTTAACATCCTGATAAGTTAAACGCGCGAATAGTTTAAGATAAAATTTGCTAGTGAATCGAATAAATAATTCTCTTTAGTCTTAAAACTCTATCACGTCTCAACTAACATTAAATATTTTTGTTGTTTTGAAAATTTTTAACTATAACGAAACTTAATATCCGTTGAAAAATTTGCATACAATATATATGGCTTTAAGCCAAGCAAACATAAGGGTGGTTCAAAGTTCAATGTTAAGAGAAAGAAAATGTTTTCTCTCAAAAGTTTACTTTAGTAAGATATGAAAACCGTTACGGAAGATCATAATGTACATCAACTGGGAAGATTACGTTCCTCTTATATCCGAGCTTTAAGAAAACACACCCAAAATTCAAACCTATTTTACTTCATTTGAACTTAATTATTTTACAGATATGGTTGCTTTTGCCTACGTCTATTTCCAGTTTCAGACCTATTCTGTGGATATCAAACGAGAATATGAGTAGAGATGTGTAGTTTTATATATTTTATTATGGGATCACTTAAAATTGTAAGCTGATAATAACATAAAGGTTGCTTTTCAGAGCGGCGAACACTTCGTTAGTCCCTATCCAAGTCCCATCGTCATTTGTTATGTTTCGATGACTGATGAGTTCGTCTTATCCTGTCCAGCCGCTTAAAGGCTATCTCCTACACGCATACATGTAGACACGGTGGCAGTCAGAAGAGATTTAGGTAGAGAAAGGAAGATAAGGATAGTATTATTTAAGTACTTTTGATAAGAAGTGGGAAGTTGGGGCGGAAAAGATCACAATAGGTTCGATTGTTCCAAAAATGGTCCCTGTACTCAAGGTACGAGAAGTAGCTTCTTAGCAGATAAATAGCTTAGTAGTAGGTCTTCCATTTCTTATTTTTTTCAAATATATCACAACAGATGTGTCCTTCATAGTTCAAAAGAACTGAGGAGGAGTGGCTGTAGCGTAGTTCGTCGGTTTACCCTGATGATATGTGTTTTTTTTTCCCGCCTGAGCGCTCGCTATAATTAGGAGAAAGTAAGCTCTACATTTAAACCCGACTTGGTATCCGCCATTCTTATTCGCACAGGCAAATTAAGGAACGAGAAGTCACGGTAATGCATCGTGCAATACAAGAGCAGATCTAGCGCCAGAAGAGAAGCAAATTTGTTGAAAAATTTATCAGTTGGCCAGATCTCTTTTCTTTCTGTAAGACTCGCGTCTAGGCAAAGTGTTTAAATATAAGCACATCGTAGCCTACGTCATGTCGACGTTTTCTAACAGCGAGGATGTCGGACATACTGGCGTCACCCATGAGCACTTGTACGCGATGGAGAGTCGGCGATCTCTCTTGCCATCAAAATATTTGATTCATTGAAATTTTAATTTGGCGAAATAGTTCTTTAACGAAAAGTTTCCATTAATTGGCCTCCACGATTATGTTAGTTGATGCCACTGGATTGTTTGCTTTTAGGACTTATAACGTCTCTGTGTTTATGTTATCAAGACGACAAGAATTGCTGCTTGCTTTGCAAGCCAACATAACATAATTGGCGTTATCAGCAACATCGGTCCCTAGGTGCAGTGGAATGTGGCTGTGGCCAACACGCAGCGGAAGTTGCTTTCAAATAAAATCAAAGTTTGTTTTTTTTTTTTTCTGTGTTTTATTTCTATTGGAAATCAAAACTTTTTAAAAAAATAGCTCCTCTTATATATTTTATAGGATCATTGACATCTTTAGGCTTTGCAAACGAAAATTGGTTGCGATATGGACATAAAAGAATAAACTTGAATCCATCTAAGTTTGACATAAATTAACGACTGCCACTTGATATCATAAAAATGCTCCATTTAACTGTTGAATGTTGTCATAAAAAATAAATAAATAAATAATATACACAATTATATTTTCTTTTCATTGTTATGCTAAAATGCAATTATAGTATATGGCTGACTATAATACATTTTCACGTCTCATATTTACATATAAATGTCTGTAACAATGCATCAATTTTGAACGTGCATTTGACACCATTCTCCGTTGTAGGTGCAAAAAAAAAAAAAAAAAAAAACAATTTGAAGAGCACTCAATAGAGTGAATGTGTGCCAGCCATACTTTATTATGAACATCGCTCAAAGTTTCTACATTTCAAAGTTTAATGATGAGAAGCAATGATTATATATAAAAAAAAAAAAAAAAAAAAAGGAGATATTTAAACTTTTTTTTCATTTTTTTTATTATTATTATTTTTTTTTTTTTTTTAATGTTAAGCATACAGAGGCAGACACAGGTGCTTGACGACGACAATGTATAACAGGGCAAAGTACTATTCCAGAGATTCCCAAGTGTAAGAGTAGCAAATCTTTATCTTAAAGAATATTTGAAAAGTTTTCTAAAAATTTTTCCAAAACAAGAAGAAAAAAAAAAATAAAACGAAGAAGAAGATAAGAAAAAAATCAAAAACGAATGCAACTAAAGTAAACTAAAAATGCAAATGAAATAATAAAAATAAATATTGTAAAGAATAAAAATGTAAAAATATTATAGCGCGGCACGTGCCTTCATTATATACAATGGACTACCCTACCGTTGTGCTAATAACAACTTTTCAATGTAAGGCGTTATAGGGGAAGTAATCGAAAAAAGTGGCCCGATCCGAACCATTTTCAATAGCACTCGTCTTTGAGCCAAAACACGTCCGCGAAAAAAATTTTATCATAATTTCTGCAAAACTGTCGCCTGTAGGTTAGCCAAAGAAAACGAGAAGGACAGACAGATACTCTATCTGGTCGACAAGCTTGGAATCACTTTTTGAATCGTTTGGTTTAATAAAAGATGAATACCTCTCAAGTATTTCTAAGTGTTATATACCCTTGTACCACAAATGGTGTATGGTATACGAAGATATTATAAATATGTATGCGGTGCCTGTAAAGAAAGAATGGCATTGTTAGAGAGAAGAGGAGTTTATTCATTAAATTGCTTATTATGGTTTTCGAAGCAGGTACCCTATAGCTTGGAACGTAGCTAAACCCGAACTTAACCCAGTCCTACATATATTTCTCGGGGCGGTTGGTTGAGTTCTGGGGTTTCGAAAGTTTCTCCAATTGATTTCGAATGCCTTTCTTGAACTTTGTCCGCAGAAAAAATGAAACGAAACGATATCATTTAATTGCGGCACTCATTCGATCGCATTGATTGTCTTTTGGCCTAGACGCGTTTAAAATATGATTGTATGCGCGGTATGTAGCTATCAATTTGTATTTTATGAACGAATTGAAAAGGCTAAGTTTCTTTCATTTGAAGCAGGTGCATAAAGCGTCTAGAGTTTTCGAACACCAAGTTTACGATTTCTCAATCTTTTTATCGTTCATAGCCGTTGAAGCAAATCAAATAGCATTTCTGTTCATTCCCTTTTGTTATGCATTATTTTTTTTTTTTTTTTTTTTTTTTTGCTAGAAACTTTTTAAACATTTTCTACGTTTTGCTGCGAAAGGCTTGTTTGAAACACAAAACCTAAAGAAGACATCTTGTTCAGCTAATGTTTCCATTGTAGTCAGCCCAAAGCACTCAAAAGTATGATTGACAAAAAGTGAGCTTGAGGTGCAGCTTGTGTTCAAATTCCGTGTTGTAATTGAATACAAGTATCAACTAGCGAAGCAAATAATAACAACAAAAAAAAAGAAACAACAAATGTAGGAATAACTTTAATAAGCGTGTTTAAAATGGCAATTCCTATGCTATATGGAATATGAGCTGTTTATTTTGAAAGTAGAGTAAATCTATTTGTTTTATTATTACGAGATATTTAAAGACTTGCATTTCAATAAATTTGAAACAGAAATATTTTTTAATTTTTTTTTTGTATTTTTTTATTTTACGATATCAGCTAATGTAAGTTTATTATTCAATAGTTTTTGTTTATAGTGTTGGCTTTAAAAAATAAATATTTTTTATACTTAAACAGACTTGTCTCACTTGCAAAACTAACCAATTATTGCAACACTTAACGAAAGGCATAATATTTCAGTTGTATCAGCCCTTTTTTAGATAATAAAAACAATATATTATTCAATTTTGCATAAATATTTATTCATTTGATGAAAATATTATAGTACTCCGGGAGGATATGCAAGTAATTGGTTTGCTGGATAGCAATTTCTATCACTTGAAAATCGTCATCGTTTAAACTAAATGAATGTCTGGGCTATAAACAAATTTTACGATCAATGATGTGATGATTCGTTATCACTCGACTGAAGAAGTTTCTGTTTTGATCAGTGCATAACATATTTCCACAAACTGTAATGAGGGTCAACTAGCAAGATATTATTCTTTGCGATCTTCTACGAAAGTGGAAGTCTTGATTTGATATATATTTTGGTTATAATGTGAAATTGACACTGCTAGCTTAGGATGAGGTAGTGTGCTTTTTGTATCACTCAGAGGAGGACGCAAAATGTTTTCCAAGATTGTTTACAGTTCATATAGATTGTTGCAGTTCGGCATTTATCAAATGCATAAGATGGACTTGCAAGATGAACATATCGCTAGTACTCTTTATAGCTAAAACTTTCATCTCTGTCATCATATCATATTCATATTGTCATCATTCTCGTTATTATTATCATTAACAGTTTTTTCACAAATGGACTTGGACAATGTATTATATATATATTTTCCTTGTACTCTACACCACTTGTGATACAAAGTATATTAAATTTGAGCGGACGTATCTAACACACAGAAGAGCTCAAGATAGACTCAGCTTTTATTATACAGAGCGATTCGGAATCAT